AAAAAAAAAAAAGGATTTCTTTTTACATTAAAAACAAATAGTTTTAAATTTACTATAATAAATAAAAAGACATACAGTTTTTAACAGTACCAAATATGCTGTATAAAAAAAAGCAAAACTTTCCAACTATCCAGTATCTTTTTAGATGGAAAAAAAAAATGAAACAACAAAAAAGGTATTTGCAATTATGGGTCTGCAGCTGTCTTAAATTATGGGGGTTGTAACTGTTGAACTGATAAGACAACAAAACTGTTGTTTTTTTTTGCTGATAAAATCCTTATTTTCTTGACAAATTAAACATTTTATTTCTGTCCTGAATGCTTCTTTAACAATGTTGCCTCTGATTTATCTCCTGTTCTTAGTTACCTGTAAGTTTAATATTCTATTTCTGATATATCTTTATAAAATTTAAAAATTTTTTAAAAAATTTAATATAGCAGTTTTAAAAAGAAAAATTTTTTTTTATCAAATTTACACACATTGCCTATTTCAGTAGCAGCAACTTCAAACGATCAAACAGTTAATGATGAAACGTATGGTATTCTTCTGGATACCGTCTTTAATACTTGTGCAGCATGTAATATAGTTAAGAATACTGCCAGTCAAATAGCGCCAATTGAAGAGGTAGATTTAATGTTCTTCTGCAGTAATTCAGATGAAACTGTTGCCATATAAATAAGTATATTTGGAGTAAACTGAACCATAAAAATAGACCCTTCAGTATAATGATTATGCAATAGTTTCTTTCCTCATCCCTTTTAGAGTAGATTACTGAAGATTAGAACCAAGCAGTTATTATCCTCATAGATGTCTAAAATTTGGAAGCAAAGAATCAGAAATAGACAGAGAATACAGTTCTGTTCTTAATATAAATTTTAGATCAGAAGCATGGTGTTTGAATTTTGTAACACAATACCGAAACATATTTTTGATTCCTGTGATCATATCGGCTCAATGATTTTGGACCGAACCTACAGCTATCTAGAAAACTTTGTATCAAACAAAGAATCATGTCAACGTTTCTGCGGTGAAAACACTAAACGAATAACCTTTGAAGTATTAAAAGAGGTGGCAAAAGAAGCTAGAATGAATATGGTATAAGTGTTATAACTGTAAAACATGTATTTTTAATAAAAATACCAATTTTGTAGCTTTTTAATAGCAATAATTTACCGCTAAACTAAACAAAAATAGAACTGCTTAGATACTTTATACAGCATCTCAGTTTTTTTCTCTTAATTACAGCTTACAACATAAACTCAGTTTCGACTTTCTAGGCTCCTTTTGTGGAAAATTTAGTATCCGATTTGATGAAATTATGCCTAACAGCCCCAAATCCATTTGCGTGCGTCAATGAAAAGTTGGTAAGGAAACCCATACTGGAAGGCATTGTAACACGTACAGTGGATCGAGTTTATGGCATGATATTCCCAAGTACCGATACTGTTTTCAAACATAAAAAATATCCCAAACTGAAACCGCATTTGTTGTTTAAATAGCACCAGTCTAGTTTGTTACTATTAGCAGGTGTAAAAAAACAAGGAGGTCAACAATCAGAGAAGCAGAAACCAGAAGAATCGCAAGAGAACCAAAAAAATGCTGATGACGATTCACCACCATCAAAAATTATTTGCGACCTGTGCGAAACAGTAATGCTTTTCCTCAAACAGGTTCGGTATCTTATAATCCGATTTTCAGTAATTACTCCATATATTTACATATATTAGTCAGAGGTGAGTATTTTATTTTGTATAAAACTGTCCAAAAAACTTCAAGCAAGTTTTCAAAACAATTCACATAACAACGACTTCAATTAACCAAATTCCAAACAAGATATTCCGATAAATATTGAGGTGGCTTCAGTTAAACAAAAAGACGAAACAAGAACAACAAAAATATGTTGTACTTCCCATGAACCATACACCATCTGTATGTCAATAATCGTGAATTCAAATACATTCTGATATAGTTTATACAGATATACAAGATGATAAAAGGTGAAGCAATTCATCATTTCTCTACCACTTTAGCAGCAGTAAGAGCGCTAGTAGTG